AAGTTATCATAGACATGAACATCATTATAGAGTTGATCGGACACATTTCGCCGCATTCGAAATTGACGGCAGAAATAGGTCTTGAATAGCGCATCGGGGACAAAGTAGTTGTCCATCAGCATCATGTGCCCTCATGCCCTATTCATCACTTGGTATCTTGTGATAGATCTTGGCTTGCGGAGGATGAATTGATGAACTCAGCGGAGAAGTCCTCATCGTACGGTTTTAAAGTAAACTACAAAAATATCAATAAATTTGGCTATGTCATTTGGCCGAACACTTGTCGAACGTGGTATCCGCATTGGACGACAATGTGAAGGGGCGGAATGTACCTGGACGACGGCCGGACAAGGGGTGAAAGGGAGATGTATGTAAAGTGGGGTTGGCGCCAGGTGGAACGGCAGAGGTCCAACAAGGCCTCAACGGTGGAATGGGTGGTACAACTTTTCACCAGCAATTAACGATGGCCACTCGTGCAAAAAATAAATCTCATTTGCACTTATTTTCCCGCCTAGATACACGGTAGCCAGTAAAAACATACAATCATACAGAAGAGGCACGATTGTGGTTAGCAAAAGGACATGAGAGCTACTTCTCGCTTAGTGCGAGTCTTTAGCTTCTCGCGTGAAGGACTTTTCCCCTTGCAGAGCAACTGGGCTGTGCCATTTATCTATTTTTTTCACTCGCATCGCTCGCTCGCGAGCTATTGCTTCACTGGTTCGAATGTGGTGTTTTATTTCTCTTTCGGTTTCTTTGTTTCTTCTCTGGTTTTCTCTAGTTTTTATGTTTTTCTTTGTTTCTTTATTGGGGTTTCATTGATTTTTTATTTGATTTCTTTTTTCTTTGTTTTCTTTGATTTGTTTTTGTTTCACTTTTGGCTTTCACTGATTTTATTTTCTTTTCTTCTTCTTTTTCTTTGGTATCCTTTTTGTATCTTTCTTGTTTTTCATCGGGTTTCTTTGTTTCCTTTATTTCTTTCTTGGTTTACACTGTTTTTCATTCTTTTTGCAGTGGTTTTCTTTGGTTTTTCCTTTTTCTTTTGACATCCTCTGTTTTTCTTTTATTTATATGAAAAACTATTGGTCATGTATTTTATAAATGATAAACGTGTATACAAAAATGTTGATCATGTATACAAAAAATGTAGGATGTACATTAAATAAAAGTGGACATCGAAAACATATATTTAAGTAAATTTAATTATGTATTACAAAATGTAAACAGGTATATAAATATGTTCCTGATGTATACAGAAAATGTGCATTGTGTATGAACAATATTTATTGCCATTATAAAAATGTTTAACATGTGATCAACATTTTTATACATGTTTAATATTTTTTATATACATTATAAAAAATTATACATGTTTAATATTTTATAAATACATGATCAACATTCGTTTCACACACACTGTTTATTTTTGTATACATTTTCTGTATACATGAGAAACATTGTATCTATACACATTTAAACTTTTTCAAATGCTTGATTAACATTACTCAAATAATTGATTAACATATTTTAAATGCTTTATTAACATGTTTTACATACATGATCAACATTCTTTTCATGCACATTGTATATTTTTTGTATTCAGTTTTCATATACATGGAAACATTTTTTTCTATACACATTTAATTTTTTTTCAAATGCTTGATTAAATTTTTTTCAAATGTTTTATGTTTTTTTTGTGTGTATAAAATAACTAAAAGGCAAAAGCAAAAACATATAAGGTGAGAGAAAAAACAGAAAACAGAGGCTGTGGCCAGCCTCCAGCTTGTTGGGCAGGCCCATTACAGCGCTTTGTTCAGGCGAGACTGCGCTACGTCTCACTATAAGCGAGATATAGGCGCGCCCCAGGTACACGGTTGTGGACTTGCTGCACGTAACCTAGTCCTAATCTTCCTATATAAACTCTCCACCACCCTCACCCCCACTGATTTCAATTGGATGGGCCCCCTCCCCTAATCTGTCCAATGAATAAATGCCACCTGGCGATTACGTTAATCACGTAAAGTTGAGTACGTAGATGTAGCATTGCTGTAGTCCTATAGGCCCACGATACGTATGCGGAGGTGGAACGTGATGCGCGAAATCCTAAGAGCAACTCTAGCAGACCCCGCATCCGGTCGGCCCGCAAAACGCGTTTGCAATTCATGGGAACCGCTTTTGCGGGCTGGCTCGGACGGCCGCAGATCCAGACCCCCCCAAACTATACCTGGCCATACCTCGGGCCGGGCCGGGATTCGGGCCGGGCCTAGCCAAGCCCGACCAAAAAAACCCAGGCCCGAGCCCGGCCCGGCCCGGCCATCGGGCCTGTTTTCTGGGCCCGAGCCCGGCTCGAACATGTAAAAGCCCATCGGGCTCCGGGCCGGGCCGGCCCGACCTTCAGAGAAATGCAAAAACGACGGGCCCGGGCCCGGCCCGGCCCGGCCTTCGAGCTCAAAATCTAGGCCCGAGCCCGGCCCGAGGGCAGCGTCGGGCCGGGCCGGGTCGGGCTGGGTCGGCCGGGCCGGGCTTCCCATGGCGAGGTATACCCCAAACGGACCCGTATAAAAGGATATTCACGGAATATTTTTTTACGGGTCGGCTTTTGCGGGGTCTGCTCGGACACCGCCGCGACGACCCGCAATAGCAAACGCCCAATTCTCGCATTTGACATAAGTTTTCACAAATAAGTTCAAATTCAAACAACACGTTCACGAACGGCGTTGGTGTCCAACAAGTTCACGAACTCGCCAGTTGCATTGTTCGAACCACCGCTATAGTGAACGGTAACAAGTCACGAGCTATCGCAAAAAATGGTGAAAAATCAAAGAAAATCGCCATGACCGAAGATGCATACCTTCCGGCCATTTCGTCGAACACCTCGTCGTCGAACACCTCGCTTGCGGGGGAGCAGCACCGTTGAACGGCATCGCTAGGCACCTCTTTTTGGGATGGAGTGAGAGGATGAAGGAGGCGGCTTCTTAGTAGCCGGATTCCTCTTCCTCTTGCCACCGGCGGCCTTGGTGACCTTCTCCGTTGTCGGCCGAGATCGCGCAGCAGCGTTGGCGCCCGGAGCGTGGGCCTTCGCAGCGGGGGCTGCCGGATTCCCGCCCTGCACAACCACGTTGCCCTGCCGCTTGCGGGCAAGCGCGGCGTTAGCTTGGGCGACGGCGGGGCCAACATGGCCGGCGACGAGATCCGCCCGAGGGAAAGGAGCGTGCGCGACCTCGACGGTGACGGGGGACAGCTGGGAGTCGTCCATGGCGGCGAAGGACGGCCGGGGAGGATGCACCGGAGCGTGCGGTGGCGGGGCAATGGTGGCGGAGGGTGGGGGAAGCGGGAAAGGCCGCGCAGAAATGTCCCTCCTGCCAAATCTCGCTGCGGATAGGGGCTGAGCTCGGGTCGGCCTCCTAGCCCGTGAAACTATAGGTTGGGGGAGAAGTTTTGCCGCACACCGCAAAAATATTTACGGGCCGGGGCGGGATGCAGGGTGTGATCAGGCAGGTTTCCCTGCCCCGACCCGCACTTTGGCGGTTATTTTACGGGCCGGGGCGGGATCTGGGGTCTGCTAGAATTGCTCTAAGGCCTTTGTGTGCCTCATGGTTCAACACCGACGTGAAGAAAAAACCGAACATTCCTGATGAATCATACGGTTGACAAAGCTACCGGATAGATCGATCGAGTGGCTAGCGACCCGGCTGATCCTGCGCGAGGATCAGCCGGGTGACGCCATAGCATCTGCCATTAATAACTAACTAGCTGGCCAATTCGTAGGGTTTGGTGCACTGCGTGAAGCTAAGGCTAACTCGTAGTAGTAACAAAATTACCGGAGCGGACTTTCAGCGCACGGCGGCATTGGCGCACTTTATCCATGTCGTGCGCTGCATGCATCGTGATTGGTCCAATGGGCCCCACGCTCCAATATATCAGCAATACACGAGGCCTATACTGCATGGAGGCGGTACATCTAACTCAAGTTACGGTCCAACTGCCCACCTTCGTCGGATACTTGTTCCATGGTCGCTCATACCCGATGTAAAACCTGGCACATGTCCGCCTTGCATGCATCTTTTGTTGTGGCCCAACTAATACCTGGTACATGTTTCGAGCCACGCAGACTTGGCTTGGACCCAGTCGTTTCTCGGGTATTACTATAGCCAAAACCAAGGGTTACTTAAATGATGGCACTATCAATTGACAATGGAACTAGCTCAACCGCTGGCTAATAAATAAAAGTTTTATTAATCCTGTGGGAGATATAACTGCTTGTCTAATCATGTTTAGCACGTACTGCATGCAGCATAGGATGCTTAATATTTAACCAAGCCGCCAGGCGATTTTTGTCTTGGTCAACTGAGGCAACTACAACATAAAAAAAGCAATAATGACTGATTGTGGTGCAGTAATAAATCGACTTAAACGTGCATGATAACTATGTGCTCGGCATGGGTGAGGCAGATATTGTTGGGCCAAACTATTTGGCCGGCATCTCTGTCAGTCATGACCACACCCCACGATTCGGTACTTGTTCTGCATGTGTATCAGGAACTGGTCCAATTTACTACCTGAGCCAGAATTCCTCCTACTAAGGAGCCAGATCGGGGAACATTTGCTGCTGCGAGGAGACGAATCCAGGACCAAACCGTGCACTATACCAGCCATATACTACATGCTGTAATAAAAACGCTGCGTTGATATACATCGATTCATAAATGCGCTGGGAAGATCCACATGCAAACGAGAGGTGCAGATAAGCATAGCACTAGACGCCGTGCACCAAAACAACTTTCCGCAAAATTACTCCGTGAAAGGTGAAACGGGAGAAGTTTTGGAGGAGAGGAGGACGAAATACGCGCCTGATTCCGCTGGATAAGAAATCAACCCAAACGGAACCCATCTTTCTCTCCGCATCTCAACGCATCCCGTTCCACATGCATCCTATATAAATGGATCACCAGCCATAGAACCCTACACTGCAAACCAGCGCCGCAAAGGAAAACGTGAGATCAATGGCACCATCCAAATCCCATCTCGTCTTGCTCCTCGCCGTCGTCCTGATCGCCGCCACGCCGCAGCCTTCGGCGGCCGTCAGGGACAAGGCCCCTGCCCCCTCCAGCAGCAACGATGTAGTAGCAAAACCATCGGCATGGTGCATTCCCTGCTTTTCGTTTCTACCCCAGTTATTCTGTATACCACCGATGTTCTGTCCACCAACGCCTAGTGCGCCGCCACCACCAGCGAAGCCGGAGCCGAAAGAGTGTCTACCATCGCTGATGGGGTTGATGCCATGCAAGGATTACCTAACCAACAGAACTGCGCCGGAGCCTCCAAAGCAAGGCAAGTGCTGCGATGGCCTCAGGTCACTCTTCAAGAACGCTCCCGTTTGCACATGCCGCATATCGGACGACGGCGACCTCGACAGGCTCATGTCGGCACGCCTAGATGGAGGAAAATTCCTTCATCTGTCGGTTATATGTGACACCACTATAGCTCCAAGTGATTATCGATCTTGCCAAGGTAAGTTGTTGCTCTCGTACTATAAACTGTTTTGTGCATTATGTCGTCTTCAGTTATGAACATTGTGAATCTTTTATATGGATCTGACAGCAGGACCCGTGCCACCCCTGAGGGCCGCACCCGCCCCTGAAGCTGCTTCATAACTGGTCAAATCAGGTAACTAGTTTGTGTGTGTTCCGCATAAATTGAACCATTTCCCTGTTTTGGAGATGGATTCATTCATGGCTGCATCAACTAGTCCGTATTTCTGTATTGTACCTTTTAACTTTTGATTTTATCTTCGTTTTGCAGAGGCATGGTCGTAGTAGAATTACAGAAACAAGTTGGAAGCTAAAAGATGTCAAGATCCGTCAGTACCATTCTTAGAAGATATATAGTGCGAGTTTTCAGTTCGATTAGGCAGAATATGTAGCTTCGTTTGTGTCAATCTCTGAATCGTCTTGGAGAAAATTTATTGGTTACGGTCGTCAACTATATATTTGGTTATTTGGTTGTTTATTGGAAATAAACTATTGGGTTATTTGTGAGTGTCCACCCTATGCATGGAATCATCAAATGTTCACCTAGTTATTTTTTTTAATTTTGATTTTTTTTTGAATTTTTGTTCACCTAGTTATCGAACTGTTTTATTCCGTTGCTCTGACTATCGAACGCTCTCTTTCTTCAATCTGGCAATGATGGTCTGCAAAAGGAATTATCATTGCTGCAGAATTGTACTGTAGAACCATAAACCGTTGCTTAAGGGCATCTCCAACCCTGACCCATTTGTTCAAAAATCATCTGGACTGGTGTCCGGACATGGATACGGGAGCCATCCATCCAACCCTATACCACAAAGGTTCGTCCTAAAAATAATATGAAAAACCATGATTTGTGATTTGTTAGTAGCTTTTTGTTTGGTGCAAAGCTGCTAATTATAGTGATTTCATGGCTTCCGTCAAATCTGCTTACCAAGTAAAGCAAACATTTGCCTACTAAACACAATACCATGACGGATAGTGGCTAATAGCTACTCATAAGATTTGGCGGAAAGCTAGCTTCCGCCAAGTGAAGCTACTCAAAAGTATTTGGCGGAAAGCTAGCTTCCGTCAAGTGAAGCTACTCATAAGCATTGGACGGAAACCTAGCTTCCGTCAAATGAAGCTATACTTCCAGCTACTAAACGCCAAATGAAACTCCACCTAATCTAGCAATGACCGTCTAATCAAGCATAATTAGCACCTTCCATCAACCGCCAAATGTAGCGCAATTAGCCTCCTGCCAAATGCTAGTCATTCTGACCGGATGCAGAGTAGAGGATACGTAGTGCTTTATGATTGGCCAGGCGGATGTACGGACTTTCCCAAAGCTCCTCTTTGTTTGTCTCCAGTTTGTGAAAAAATGGACGTCCGGACACGTTGGCGGAACGAAGCGGGATTGCGTTAGATGGCAAATTGCATCTGGATAGCATGGTTCGAAGGCTTGCGGGAGGTTTGAGGGTCTGCTTTGCAGATGCCCTGATGCCGCAAAGTAGCGCACACCATGCATGCATCTCCAACTTATTGTCTTCTTTTTCTTTGAGGGAATCTCTAACTTCTCTGCTCGCTTGGATTCTCCCGAAACTTGAACTTACGTGTGCGCGATCCTCCTTGTATATACCTGTAATGAACGCATCACCGGTCCAAAAATGTTGCAAGTCTTCCACCGAAAAAAAATTAAAATGTGGCGAGTGTCTCGCATGAACGCGGGCCGGCGAAACTCCAACGCGTGCCCGGCTGCGCTCACCATGTCGACGACCGCTCGTGCTTGCCGTTCTATGCACAAAGAAAGGACTAAACGAGGGCTGAGGGCAGATAGGTGACAAACCTGTTGGAGGCGTTGGCGGGAGCATGAGCCTTGTGCTTCCGGAGCTCCTAATCAGCGTTGTAGGCGCCCGATCCAGGAACCGGCGCACACAGCAGCTTGGTTTGGGCCGTCCCAGTTACACGAGCTCGGTGCTCGCCCACTCCCTTCCTTCACTCGTCGTTCTCGCTTTACGGTTCTCTAGGCTACGATTCATCCTATGAATACTGACATTTTCAAGAAAAATCACAAAAAAATCACAAAAAATCGTGAATAGAAAATGTTCATGGATTTTTAAAAAGTTCATTAAATTTGAAAAAAAGTTCAGCATTCTGGAAAAAAGTAAACCGAGTTTAAAAAATTCATAGAATTTGAAAACAGAGCTCATCGTTTTGGAAAAAAAATCATTGAATTTGAAAACAGAGTTCATCGATTTATTAAAAAGTTCACCAATTTTTTTAGAAAAGTTCATCGGTTCTGGAAAAAACTTCATTGAATTTTAAATAAGTTCATCAAATTTTGGAAAAAGTTCACAAATATTTTAAAAAAATTGTCAATTTTGAAAAAAAAGGTTCATCAATTTTTAAAAAGTTCATTGACTTGAAAAAGTCATCAAATTTTGAAAAGTTCAGCAACTAAAAAAAGTTCCATGAATTTGAAAAAAATACGCATTAAAGAAAACAAAAAAGAAGAAACAGAAAATGATAAGAAAAAAAAGAGAACAAACTGAATTGAAGAACGACATAAAAGAAAAGAGTGAAGTATCTTTGCACCTGCGGGGCGATGGCCTCATGGTTAGAGCGGAGCCCTCACAACGAAGGGGTCGCGGGTTCGAACCCCTGTGCCTAACAAGCGCCAAATAGGATATGCCTTGTGCTTCCGCAACATTATTTTCAGTTACACACTTACACTAGGAAACCTGCTCGTGTGTTGCAACAGGAGAAAAAAATCTATGCATGTCCTTAGCTCATGGACCCATTCGTTGCGCTTAACAGGCGCCAAATAGGATATGTCTTGTGCTTCCGCAACATTATTTTCAGTTACACACTTACACTAGGAAACCTGCTCGTGTGTTGCAACAGAAGAAAAAATCTATGCATGTCTTTAGCTCATGGACCCATTCGTTGCGCCTAACAGGATATGCCTTGTGCTTCCGCGACATTTTTTTCAGTTGCACACTTACACTAGGAAATCTGTCCGTGCGTTGTAACGGGAGAAAAAAAAGTCTATCCATGTCCTTAGCTCATGGACCTATTCCTTGCCGTGTCCTTAGCTCATGGACCCATTCGTTGCAACACGATAAAAGAAAAAAAAACATTATTTTTACAATTCCATGTATTATTTGTATATATAGTTGTACACAATACATCATAAGGAGATATTGACAAATAGCACTACAAATATCAATTAACACTACAAATATCACTATTAAATTTGATTATACAACTAACCTGCCACGCTAAAAAACGAATATCACTATTTGCGGACGATGTCATGGTTTTCTTCAAGCCCACTGATCTGGAGACCCGAACCTGTGGAGCTGTCTTAGACTTGTTTGGGCACGCCTCTGGACTGTCGGTTAACATGAGCAAGAGTGCTGCCATTCCTATCAGATGCTCACAAGATGATCTATCGCTAGTCAGCTCAGTTCTCGGGTGCTCGAACGGCTCCTTTCCTTGCACATACTTGGGGCTGCCGCTCACTCTGCGCAAGCAATCGGCGGCACAGCTCCAAGGCCTTGTGGACAAGCTTGCTGACTGCCTGCCTCATTGGAAGGCAGAAATGCACCCAAAGAGCGGTCGACTAACACTGATCATATCCGTTCTATGCGCGATGCTGATCCACTCCATGCTTGTGTTGAGTATTCCGGCGAAGACTATCAAGGCACTCACCAAAATTTGCCGAGGATTCCTTTGGTGTGGCAAGAAGGAAGCAACGGGTGGTCACTATGCCGTGGCATGGGTCAAGTCTTAGACTCACTGATGCTCATATTTTTCTAGATTTATTTCGATCTTGATGTGTTAGCTCAGTCTCTTTGAGGTGCTCATAGAGGTAAAGTCTTCATACATGCGTTCATAGGAATAAGTGTATGTCTCTATGTATAAGCGTCAGCGTATGCGTCAGAACATGAAAAGATCGCCGGCAAGAAGGAAGCAACGGATGGTCACTATGCCGTGGCATGGGTCAAGTCTTAGACTCACTGATGCTCGTATTTTTCTAGATTTATTTCGATCTTAATGTGTTAGCTCAGTCTCTTTGAGGTGCTCATAAAGGTAAAGTCTTCATACATGCGTTCATAGGAATAAGTGTATGTCTCTATGTATAAGCGTCAGCGTATGCGTCAGAACATGAAAAGATCGCCTGATACCCAAAATGGTTGGCACCCTTTTCTCTGAACGAAGCGGTTCTGAGTTCAAATCCCCGCACGCTCCCGTTTTTGGAGTTTTTAACACAAAAGGAGAAAAATAAATGGGCCGGCCTAGTTAACGCTCCCGTTTTTGGAGTTTTTAACACAAAAAGAGAAAAATAAATGGGCCGGCCTAGTTAATGCGGCCGCAGGCGCCTGTTAGGAAAATTGCCCTTTAACCGGCGCCTGCAGCGCCGAATAGGGAATGCCCAAACCTCCTGCTAGCCTGAGCGTCGCCAGATAGCGATGCCTAAACTTGAAGATAAACATCACCAATCCAATTCAACAGCTAGGTAGGTTACTATAATAAGGCAGTCCAGTATTAAGCCCGTACACACACCACACTGGAAGGTAGGATGGTCTTGCTCATCTTTGTAGAACGGAGGGAGACCATCCTACAGGGACAATCTTTTACGGACGGAGGGAGACAAATACTACATAAATACATATATATTAACGGCTCCAGTGGCGTCGTCATCAGGCCTCTTCTTCGATCAGCAGCTTGGCTACTGTTAAGATCTGCTGTAGATGCTAGCCAGGTCATGAAACTTCTTCACCTTGCCTTGACTATTGGAAAGAGACATCATGCATCTCCCAACGGTAGTAAGGAAGATGTCCCCTGTCACCACAAGCATAGCCATGATTACTACTCCCTCCGTTCCTAAATATTTGTCTTTCTAGACATTTCAAATGACTATTACATACGGATGTATGTAGACATATTTTAGAGTGTAGATTCATTCATTTTGCTCCGTATGTAGTCATTTGTTGAAATACCTAGAAAGACAAATATTTAGGAACGGAGGGAGTACTAGTTTACAAAGAATTTCTAGGAAATAAACATTTCTCGCAGTCCGGACCATAAGCAATGATCCTCTAGACCATAAGCAATAGTGTCAAACTATGAGAGGATATTACCTTACATAGTCTGACACTATGTAACCCTCTTTAATTTGAGTTTGAAACACACAAGGGTTTTGCATATGCAACAAGCGCAGAATTACTATGACTATCTTGAAAGAAGTAATCTTAATGAAAGGTTCACTCCATGTCTATACTAGGACCATGTCAGCAAACACAGGTTTTCAGTGCTGTTTTTACCTCACTAGGTGTTGGATCACAATGCAACGGAGGAGGTGGATGCTGCCAAGATGCAATAGGCAGCTCCAGAGTACTGGGAAGCTGCTCCCACTGGTGTTGGTAGTTGCCATAGACTGTGTGTGCGCCATAGTCAAATGAGTTAGGGGCAGAAAATTGCTGTGAATACCAATGGTAGCCGGCTCCACTGCAATTGTTGAAGGATGGCAGGGGTGCCTGAAATCATAGGCAACAGCTGATGGTAAGATGATGGAAAAATAGACACCTAGGCAACACATCAAAAGTAGCCCATCACAGCATAGCAGAAATACATAATTTCATCTTTGTTGCTTATTACTCCGTCCGTCCCATAATGTAAGACGTTATTACATCCAATATACTATAACGTCTTACATTATGGGACAGAGGGAGTATATTCCAATGGACTCAAATAATGAATTTAATACAACAGTCTAGTTGCTTTTAGGCTTACTGATTACATATTTTTTTAACTTGGTGCCCATAGTTTTTTTTTCATCTTTTACTTTCAAAACACATAATGCAAAATTGCACAGAACATGTCAAGTTGGATCCATCAACCATGACAGCACATGTGAGAGAATTACTACTAAGAATATGTATCTTGCGAGTAATTTTTAACAAGTGAAGATGGTCCGTTCCAGGGCTACATAGCTACAGGTCAAAAGAGGAGATAGCAGAATATCATAAGCTTCACCAATGTTTTTACCTCATGAGGTTCAAACTCACTGTTATAAGTGAACTGCTGTTTTGATGGTGGTGGCTGCTGCCACAGTGCCTGGTAGTTGTGACGACCATGTAGAGGGGCGAACGATGGTGGTGGCTTGCTGAAGTATTGCCGCACTGGCTGGAATGGTACATTCTAATTAATTTTGCTTGATGATGATGAGAAAACAGACAACTGTAAAATAGGGTATATGGAATACAACATACCAGATTGTTTTGGGGCCACAATGAATGCCCAGGGGGATAGCTTGCCGCATCCCACTTTTTGAAGCACTGCTGTTGTGGCTGTAAATGGTGCATTCTAATTAATCTTGCTGAACGATGAAGGGAAAATGGATTGGAAACAGGGCATATGGGATCGATGCATGGCAAAGCGAACAACAGCGCAAGGACGAAATTTGCAAAAGCAAGTTCACAGGGATCTCGGCCAAATATACCTTCTGCTCTTTCTTCTGCTCTAGCTCCCGCTCTAGCTCCAGCACCTTATCGTCAAGCTGTTGCTCGCATCACCAACAAAAGACAGTGAGAGAGAAATCGGATGAGCCGCTGATAATAAAGGGCAGCCCCAGTGCATGTAGCTCCCGCTTGCGCAGGGTCTGGGGAAGGGTCCGACCACTTTGGGTCTATTGTACGCAGCCTTTCCCTACATTTCTGTAAGAGGCTGTTTCCAGGACTTGAACCCGTGACCTCATGGTCACAAGGCAGCAGCTTTACCACTGCGCCAAGGCTCCCCTTCGCCGCTGATAATAAACAGAACGCAAATTGGACTGCCATCACGGAAACTTCCGCAGATCGTTTTCAATAGGATGGACCTTGGAAATATGATCATTCTGCATAATAATCCCAGCAGCATTTCGTGCACGCTTGTTTTTCTGAGCCAATTCCAATGGCCTGAGGATCATAAAGTCAATTAGACAAGAGATCCCAATATGGTAATATCAGGTAAAGCTAATCGGCGAATAGCTATCAAATTATATAATGAATTGATCTAATTAAGTCAGATCATAGGTGCCCAGGCCTTAGCAGAAGAGAGGTTCCGTAGAATAAGAAACTTGCCTTTGGATTTTGCTCCTTGGTTCGCAGGAATTGAGCTCACTCACACCAAGCTATGCAGAAGAGATGGCAAGTTACTTGGTGGAATTTTTTTCGTTGAAATAAAAAGTGATAGAAAATACTTACTGAGGTGTTTCTTGGAAAATTTGAAGAGCTGCTAGCATCCCCTGTGATCTTGCGACACGCTGTGACTTCAATGCCTACAGAAACAGCTAAATTCATAAGCAACACCATACTCACAATCCCAGGTTTTTAGGGAACTGGTAAATATGCAGAAGACACACAAAGCAATATGCAGGCATTGGGCAGCCATCAAGTGGGTCCAAATAGCGCCCAGGTTAATTCGCCAAGGCAGTCACAAGAAGAGCATACTCCCCTCGGTATTTTTAACTCCTCATATAAGATTTGTCTGAAATCAAACTTTGTAAAGTTTGACCATATTTACATGTTAAAATAGCAACACCTACAACATTAAAGTTATACAATTATGAAAATTGAATTCATGACGCATCTAATGATATTGATTTTGTATTGTGAATGTTGATATTTTTTTTCTATGAAGTTGGTCAAACTTTACAAAGTTTAACTTCAGACAAATCTTATATGCCGGAGTAAAAAAAATCAGAGCAAGTAATAACTAAGTAGATAAGGATTGTCAGCATTGCATAGGCATGGCGAACAATAAGAGCAGGTAACAGTTACCTGGAGTCATATCCAGATGGCGGGACAATGTACAGACACGGAAAGGATGTTCAGGGTCATAGCGAAAGTGGTAATAAAAATCATCCGGAAGATAATACTTGCCAACTGCTTTCACAGCCTTGTTTCGTAAGTCAACAGCGGCCACACATCCATCCTTGTTACTGGGTTCCACCATAGATTTGAGATAAAGAATATCGTCACCATCCGGGCTCAGGATGGGGAAAGCTGAGTAGAGGTCCCTGAATGTCAACTTTTCTCCCTTTAGCCCGGGCAACAAAGATGAATGCGCTGATCCGTCAACAACCAAGATGTCAGCGACATTGACAGCGCATGTCTGGCGCCAACAGTTGGACGAAACTGTCCGAGTCCATGTGACAGCCCTCCAGGCACCCCCAAAGGACGGCTGCTTGCAATGCCAATCCACGGCTTTGCGCTCGAGCGACATGATCAAGTCTGAATCGTAGATAACATCACCCTTGTCGCTCCGGCTTTCAGGAACAAGATTCTCCATCTCAATAAACTTGAGCACGCCATCAACCCATGAGAGATCCCGAAACCACCAGAGATTTGGGTGAGATTCGCCCTCTAGTTTTTTGCTTCTCTCTGCGGTGGGAGGGGGAACGGGACCTTTTAGTTTGTATCTGTTCCCAGGCAACAGCTCCGGCAGCGGGATGAAAGTGAGACGCACCTGATCTTGACGCAGGTCGCACATCAGCAGGCCCTGTGACAAATCAACCCACCCTAGTAGGCCTTCTTCTCCAAGAGTGATCACCTTGTCGGGCATAATCCTGTCGACCCCAGGACATGGATTGGGCAGGGTCCTGGTGCTCCATGATTTTCTCTCGGACGAGTAGATCCGAAGGTAATAGTCATCCGACAACGGGTCGAGGCAGAGAGCGGCCACGAGATACTGGCTGCCGAGCTGCAGGACGCCGAACTCCCTGACCCCCCGCAGATCATCGCGGTCGCCATCACGATAATCGTAGGGAGGAAGAATCGGGTCGAGCAATGGTGACTCACCGGCCTTGTAAAGGAAATATTCGGATGTGGCGCGGCGGTCGAAGACGGCGCGGATGAGAACGAAACGGCCCGCCGCGCCGACGCCGACCACGTGTGGCAAATCTTTGAAATTGCAGTACGGCCCGTCTTGAAAATGAGGGGGTCTGCAGCAGTGGATGGAGAAGATGGACAATTGTGGTGGGTCGGCCATCCAGAAGGAGACCGCCATGGTGAAGCCATCCTTGGATTCGGCTGTGGCCGTGGTCTCGTTCCTGCTGTCGGTGAGGCGCGGTTTCCGGGAAAGGAGAATTGAGGCCAGCCGACGCCGACGGGAGGCGTTGGCGGCGTCGCCCATCACGACGGGGCTTCCGATTATGGTGGGGATTGTGGGGGATCTGGTGGCGTCGCGGGACAGGAAGGATTTGGGGATTAGGGTTATCTCTCTTCTCACGACCCCGAGGCCTCCTATGCAGCGCTTTATGCGCCATGAAAGCGCTATGGCGCTCGAAGCCGGGCCGCGGCCCAGTATCTCGCACGCCTTGGCGGCCGTTGCCGGGTCGATGCAAAGATCACTCCAACTTTTCAGATTGCGACAAGTGGCGCACATGCATCGCGTCACTTGTCGCAACCTGATAATTTTTTTTAGGTCCGTTTATTCAAAACGTTTAATCTCTCAAACCGTGTGTCCAAATCTCAAACCGCTTTCATCGTTGGATTCTTCGTATCGAAGTCTTCAAAATTAAATCCCATGTTGATAGGTTTTGACGAAAAAAATTCACAAAAAATGGCCAAAAAAACCGGATGAAAAACCAAGCCGGGAGCGCGGGTTTTTTTCCTTTTCCGAAAGAGGAACGCCTGTGCCTCTCACGAAATCACAACCGCGTCTCTCGCGGAAGCAAAACCGTGACTCTCACGAAAGAAGAAAAAAGAGAAAACACATTTTTTTTCCGTTTCCGAGGAGGCACGGCCGTGACTCTCGTGAAAGCACACCCGTGCCTCGCGAAGCAAAACCGTGACTCTCGCGAAAGGAAAAAAAAACAAAAAACGTGTTTTTTTCGTTTCCGAGAGGCACGACTGTGATTCTCGCGAAAGGAAAAACGCGTTTTTTTATCGTTTCCAAGAGGCATGGCCGTGACTCTCGTGAAAGCACAACCGTGCCTCTTGCGGAAGCAAAACCGTGACTCTCGCGAAAGGGAAAAAACTGAAAACACGTTTTTTCGTTTCCAAGAGGCACGGTCATGACTCTCGCGAAAGCAAAACCGTGTTTCTCGCGGAAGCAAAACCGTGACTCTCGCGAAAGGAAAAAACATGTTTTTTCGCGCAAAAAGAAATTTTCGAAAAAAAATTGTCGAAAAGCTAAGGAAGACCGGTGAAAAACCAAAACGTAAAAAAACCGAAAAAAAACTGTTTAAATAACAGAAAACGCGTGCGGAAAAATAAAACAAATAAAATCCGAAGGGAGCGTCCAGAGCGCGACACGTGGCAAATGGCTGAGAGCGCGCCAAGCGGCGCTGATCGTTGCGAGGCTCCCGAAGGAGAGCTCGTTAACTAGTGGCTCCCTCCTAACATTTATGGCTACTAGTAAGGGCGTGTTTGGTTGCCCGCATCGAGCCCAACTAGGCCCGCGCAGTAAGCAAGAGGCCTGTTTGGTTGCTCGGACTCACTGTTGGGCCTGCATCGCACGCTTCTTAAAACAGCCTAGAGTCTGGCTCGCTGGAAACGCTTGGCTCGGCAGTTTCTTGTGGAGAGTGCGGCGCGAGGTCGCACGAGCGGGTGCGACGCGAGGGCGAGGGGGATAGCGGGAGATGGAAACCTGGCGCGCCGTCCCGGCGCCAAATCTAGCCTCACCCCCTTACACTCGCTCACCATAGCCAGTACTCGTTGGGAGAATAACTGGGATGATCCGGAAGGGCTCGTTGTGCATCCGTTTCTGTTGCAAGATTTGATGGAGATCAGAGAAGGTGAAAAGAGAGGGGAATCAGAAGGCGCATGATCCAGAAGGGCTTGTGTCGGCTGCTTTTTTTGAGACAAACTTGCGAAGCTTTATTCAACCGTCACAATGTTTACAAGGATGAACAAAAGATCGCGGGGGGTGGCCTAACCAAACATGACGGACGGTCCCCAACGTTAACGCATGCTTCGCGAGGTCGTGGGCCTCAAAGTTCGAGGTCCGAAATTCATGACTAAAAATGCAAGAAGTGAAAAAACGAGCTCTCTCCGTTATTTCATGCACCAGTGCTCCGTACGATGCTGTTGTTCCTCCTCTAATCGCCTCCACCGCTGCCATGCAGTCCGAGGCGATGAAAACTTTATGCTCGTACAGGTCCTCGGCAAGCTCCGGTGCTTCCCTGGTAGCTAGGACTTCCAAAACCTCTGGATCTTCTATGTTGTTGAATATAACTGCCGAGGACCCCTAATACACCCCTGATGCATCGCGGCAAATGGCTCCCACAGCCCCAAATTCACCTGCACGCGACACTGCCGCATCAACATTAATTTTAACATGATTCTCCGGTGGCGACTGCCAAGTAGCTGGGCGAATAGTTGGTGCTGCCACTGACCTGCCAACAGGCTTCCGTATTTGCTTCAAATCTGCCATGTAGCTAGTGATAAAACCATTAGTTGAGACAGGAGTTTTGTAAATTCCTTCTTGGATTATCTTTCTCCTTGCTACCCAAATGGCCCATAGTGTAACAATCATGGTAGTAAACTCCTCTTGAGGAAGCGATTCACTCATTAGAAACAACCATCTCTTCGCTTGTTCATCTCTCTGCATGCACATATGTTGCACCATGTCCTCATTTGATAGAGCCCACATGCACCTGACATAGTTACAGTCAATTAGAGAATGGCGCCAGTTGTCCTCTGCTCCACATAAAGCACACACATGGGACGATAACATGTTTTGGTGGTGCAGAACATCACTGGTGGGAAGTGAATGACGAGCCAACCTCCATGTGAATATCTTCGGCTTCGAAGGAACCTGCAATAGATGACCATCCCTTGGTTTCTCCACTGGACATCTCCTCTGCCTCCTCTAGCTAGGCTTCCCTTCCCATCTTCATTCTATGGATCACTTTGTAGGCTGAGTTAACTGAGAATCGCCCCTCCGGATCTCCTGACCATTCCCAAAAATCATCAACCTGCCTTGTACAAAGGGGGATTTTTAGAATTGCCTTAGCATCAGCTGTCACAGAGACTTGGCAGACTAACTCATCTATCCAACATGCCATGGTTGGTTCGATGAGATCATTCACCATCTGCGGAGGATTAGCCACCCGAGGCGTAAACGATTTCATTAGACCACTTCTCGGAATCCAGTTATGATGCCATATACTAGTCGTTGCTCCATCTCCAATGCGCATGATGATCCCATGATTCAAAACATTTCCTCCATCAATAATCGATCGCCAGACTTATGATGGATGGGGGCCTAGTTTCGCCTCCAATATGGTCGTCGTAGGGTAGTAAACGACCTTAAGAATGCGAGCACTAAGGGAATCCGGTTCTTGTAGAAGTCGCCAAGCCTTCCTTGACAGTAGCGCAACGTTGAATATCTCAAGATCCCAAAAACCCAGACGTCCTAGGTTCTTTGGCCTCGTCATGACATCCCAGGAGACCCAACATGGCTTCCTTTTACCCTGTTTATTTCCCCACCAAAACTGCCGTATGATGGAGGTTACGCTCTCACAAACTCCTCTAGGAAGCCTGAAGCAAGACATTGAAAAGACTGGGATCACTTGAGCGACCGATTTGATGAGGACTTCCTTTCCCCCAACTGACAGCATTTTCTGCATCCATCCTCTCACCTTCTCCCACACTCTATCCCGAAGGTACTTGATGGTGCCGTTCTTGGAGTGACCAACATCCATTGGTAGCCCTAGATATCTGTCACTCAAATATTCATTGTGGACATTTAAACTTTGCATAAGATCTTGCTTGAGAGAATCTGGACATCCCCTGCTAAAGAAAACATAAGACTTTTCATGATTTATTCTCTGGCCTGAGGCTCCACAATAAGTACCCAACAGGTTTGATACCACTTCTGCTCCCTCCACACTTGACTTAAAAAGCAACATGCTATCATCTGCAAACAAAAGATGGCTAACAGTTGGAGATGTAGGGGCCACCTTGATGCCACCAAATGTAGACGACTAAGAACTGGACTTCAAAAGACACGATAGGCCCTCTGCTGCAAGTAAGAAAAGGTAAGGGGAGATCGGATCACCCTATCGAATACCCCTTGTGGGTTTAAATTGCTCTAGCTTTTCACCATTCAACGACACAGAAAAAGATACTGATTTCACCATCCCCATGACAATATCCACCCAAACAGACGAAAAACCCAGCTTAAGCATTATGGCTTGGAGATAATCCCACTCCAACCGGTCATACGCCTTCATTATATCAAGTTTCAGTGCACAACAGCTGTTGGTTTTAGATCGGTTCCTCTTCATGAAATGCAAACACTCATACACACATATAATGTTATCGGAGATTAGTCTGCCAGGGGTGAACGCTGATTGTTCTTCAGAAATAATGTCAGGGAGTATGATCTTTAGCCTATTAGCTATGACTTTTGAGGCAATTTTATATAGCACATTGCAAAGGCTAATAGATCTGAACTGGGGGAGGTGGGTCAGACTTGTTACCTTAGGAATCAACACTAAAACAATGTCATTAATCGCCTCTGCGCTCTCCTCTCCCTTAATGATCCGGAGAACCACCGCTATCACCTCGTCGCCGCAAATATCCCAATGGTGCTGATAAAAATGTGCTGGGAATCCATCCGGGCCGGGTGCCTTGGTTGGGAACATTTGAAAGAGCGCTAACTTGACCTCATTACTGGTATATGGAGCACACAACGCTTCATTCATGGTCGGCATTACTATCGTATTACGGGTTCCGCAAACCCTTGAGTGGTTCGAACTCTAGGGTGCGTGCGGAGATCTCAACCTACCCAGCCTGCCTACTCGCGATCCTCCTAAGCCTAGCGCGGCAAGCTCAAAGAGACAAAGAGACACATCAGTTTATCCTGGTTCGGGCCACCTTGCGGTGTAATGAAAGTGTGTTATATCGACTGAGGGGGGGTGAATAGGCGATTTTTATGAATTCTTCACTGAGGAATTTGCCGGTGAGGAAATTCCTTAGCGAAGAACTACTTGCAGCGGAATAAGTACTCAGAAGTAAGCATGACAGAATACACACGTAGTCATCATGATGAAATGAAGACAAACACAGAGTACAGAAAGCGTAAACACAGGATAACACAAGATGAAGACAAACAGACTGAAGAAATTGAACTGAGGAAATTGAGAAAGTCTTCAGTCAAAGTCTTCAAACACAGATATGAAC